GCCACAACTTAGAACGTCTTTAAATAATCGCTGTTTTAGAGCAGAGTCTAAAGAGACATAATAGGCAATTTTTTGACTGCAATATTGTTTTTTGGAAATTTTTTTAACGGATATTTTATGAGTCAAAATGGTTCTACTTCTACAACATATGAACTTTTATTCGCGTTTTTTTAGGTACACTAAAAATTGTTGTATTTTCACGTTTTTTTTACCAAGTCTAAGAGCAACTCTGCAAATATTGGTGTTATGATAAAGAAGAAATAATTTTTTACTTTCAAACATTAGTAAATAGAAATGATGACATCTAATTACAAGCCATAAGGTGTATCACTGAGTCGTCAAAAAGATTACTGCTGTCTTTGTTTACTTCTGCTCAATAATTAGACAAAACTTTTTTGGATGTATATGACGATCAACAACGGAGAACATATCGTTGGCATCACTGTTCACTGTTATTCAAAGTTGAGCTTACCTATTAAGATTTCTATAACAGTATTTGCCAAGGTACATACAAAACCACAAATGTATTTTCTACAGTTCTTTTTTTTTTTTTTTTAAACACTAAATTAAGCAATGAGAAGAATCTAGAAAGACAAAAATTTTTTGGTTGTACAATTAACAAAAATAGAGTTTTTCTAGGTCCACTTATTACCTTTCTAATCCATTTGGTGAAAATGTAATTAAGAGTTATTCAAATAAAAGTTTTTTATAATCAGTCTTTCTGAAAGCATCTTTTTAAATGCAAAAACAATGTCATTACTAAAGTTCTCAAGCACCTAAAAACAATTTTTTTTTAATTATTAACTTTAAAATAAATTCAAAAAAAGTAAAACGTTTCAGCAGTATTTTTTTATCAAAAGATAACAATAAAGCATTTGTATTAACACGTTTAAATTACAGTTTATATTGCCTGAAAAAAAAAAAAGTTTTTCTTAATAAATGCAACGGTTAAATTTGCTCTTCTTTATTACTTTTAGTTTATTTTTTATGCAACTGCCTGTCGTAAATTTTACTGCAATATCTGACTTCTGCCCATATGTTAGGAAAACACGAAAGTACAAAGAAGTGAATTAGAATTTAGAATAAGAATTGAGGATATTTTTTTGATAATATTTTTTGCTTCTTTTTTATAATTTTTAGTACAGACAATAACCAAGCATGTAAATTTATGAAATATATTTTTATATTTATACCCAAATTGCGATTATTTCAAAGAATTCAACAGATTTAGCTGGACAAAAATTTATTTTATTAGTTACAGTTCGATTAATGTTCAAATAACATTATTGTTGAACAAGAAGAAAAGCAATAATTCTTTTCTGCTTAATATATGATATTTCTTTTCATTTATTTGCTGATTATTAGTTTAAAAGTTTTCTCGTTTTGGTTACAGCGATAAAAACTTTCTGTATTTCACATTTGCAACTTGTAAGCAAAACAATTTGAGTCATTTTGATTTTTTAGCTTTCACATTACATTCACTAATCTAAAACACTTGACTTCTTACTTTTTACAACTTTTCAGAAGACTTTGACATTTCAGCCATCGATACGCCGTGATAAGATATTTCTTTTATATATTTATCAAATTTCAAAAAAAATTACAAAAAAATGTTTAAAGAAACAACTTTTTTTATGTATCTAACTACTTTAAAAAAATTAAACCCAAAATTAATTCAATTTTGGTAATAAATTTGATCTTTAAGCTATTCTAACATTCTTCAAAAGTGACGTTTTACCAGCTTATCAAAGAAGAATAGTTGTTAAGTTCTCTTACTCAATTGTTTACTACAATATGTGAATCACTAGCAATCTGAGAAACTCTCCTTTTTCGTCTACACTTATACAAATCAAATAAAAAATTCTAAAATTTAAAAAAAATAGCATTTTCTTCTCAAATACAGCTTCGGATGTGATACAACAAGAAGTGCATATAAATAGCTTTTAATTTTACACAACTCATACAAATTTCTTTTTTTTGTGCTTGATATTGACACTGAAAGAGCAATTTATAAAAACAATTATCTTATTATTAGATATTTATTTCTTTAATAAAAAAAAAAAAAAAAAAGCAGAAACGTAGTGCAGTTTTTTCAATGTAAATTATATTAACTAAGCTTTGAAAAAGAATATACAGTGCTGTAATGTTTGTCATTATATTACTTTAACAGATAAAAAAAATTTTTCTATTTTATTAAATGTTATATTATAAGATGTATGAGATGTTTTTAAAACTGTAATTCTCAGTAACTTTTTCACATTTAATTGAAGCTAATTTTCATTTACTTTATCAATATATTATTGCAGCTATCATCATTATCATCACAGTCTTTTAGCCAAATAGATTGCATGCACTTTGCTGCTAATACAGCTTAGTTTGTCATAGTAATAATGAATTTTTTGAAAACCTTGTACACACTGACATTTTTGTTTAAACTTTTATCAGTACAGATTTCCAACGTTTTTTATTGTTTCAAATATGCAATTTACTTTTTTTTTTTTTTTTTTTTTTTTTTTTTTTTT